AGGATGTGGTTCAATGGAAGAGTATCCCTAGGTTCAATCACTAATACCAAAAAATAAAAAATCAGATGGCAGTAATGGTGTACAACTCTGCAAATACACTAAAAACCACTAAACAGTATACTTTAAATGGGTGAAATTTATGGTACATGAAGTAGATCTTGATAAATCTTTTTTTAAAAAAAAGAAACATACAGGCATATTTTTTACAGTAACAGATAATGCCAAATTGTGGATTCACTTCACAGTGATTGCAAAGCATCATTTCACCACTAAATATGGGGCCTATATTACATGATCTTCATCTCTAAAAAAAAAATAAAGGAAAGAAACTTGGTTTGTTCAGCAAATATGTGTTGGGCCTCCACTACGTGCAGGCATAGTCTAGGAGCTGAAGATTCAGTGAGATGAACTATGCTGTCCTCAAACCCGCAGCCAGGGGTACCCTGGAATGCAGTAGCACTCCTGTCACCCTCAAGACCTCACCAGAAATTGCAATCCACCATCCTCTTTCCTGACCTCCCCCTTCTAGCATCCAGTTTCTCTGCCCAAAGCACAAACTGTGCTTACAGCAAAAGATGTCTGGTCGGCAGCAGGCACTTTGAGGCCATGTGCTAGAGGAGCCAATGGGTCACTGGGCCTGGGCTCAGACCTCAGGAAGCCCACAGCTGAGCAAAGGCAGACTGGAGCCTGCACAGAGGAAGGGCTCAGGGCACTGGCACACAAGATCCTGTCCAGAAAACAGCACACTATGGCATCAGCACAACCCAGCTAGCTAACATTTCACTCTCCCCAGTAGGCGCCAGGCACTTCCACGTCACCCACACAGCCATCGATAAAATAGGTATTGTCATCAAGGAGAAACTGAAGCTCACAAAAGTTAAATGGCTTACACAAAGCCACGCATCTAGTCACACGGGGGTTTATACAGTCCTCCCAACTAGCAAGCCCAGGTTCTTCCCACACCAACAGGCTTGGGCAAGGTCCCTGTGGCCAGAATCTGGATCTAAGTTTCACAGAGCTAGAGCAGTCTGAGGTACCCACAGATTTACAAGGAATAATGTAAACTGACCTAATTCAACAAAAGTCTAAGGACAAACTGGACTCCAGTTTAGACTTTAAAACTGGGCCTTGGAAATTACCAAGCAGAAGGGCCCTTCAAAAAGTACATTAGAGGGCTGGAGAGGTGGCTCAAGCGGTAGCGCGCTTGCCTGGCATGCGTGCGGCCCGGGTTCGATCCTCAGAACCACATACAAACAAAGATGTTGTGTCCGCCGAAAACTAAAAAATAAATAAATATTTTTTTAAAAAAAAGTACATTAGAGTAAAAAAGATATGACTTTATCCTAGGGATTATCCTCCTGCATGTGACCACCAAATGGAAACTCTGCCTCTCTCAGGATATTTTAAGGATATTTTTGCCACTCTTCGAGGGCCAGTTCAGTGCCAGGAGCTCTGTTAGACAGATCCTCCCCAAATCCTCTCAACCTTGAATTAGTTCAGAGAACTAGTTGGCAAGCAGGACAGCTCTGGAGTCAGCGAGCTTAGACAGTAGTCCTAATTTGATCATGTGTGTGTGTGTGTGTGTGTGTGTGTTCCCAGACTATTCACCTCTCAGAGCCTCAGTGGTACCACTTATAACAAGAGGATATTTGTTATTCAATGATTTTACAAAAATCATGAGCCCCTATTATGCCAGGTACTAGGATGGGAACTGGGGTTACAGAGATGAACAAAATACAGTCCTTGCTCTCATATGGGTCCCCATCTGATCTGGGCAACAAATAAGTTAACAGCCAGCAGCTTCAGTGTCCAAAACAGGAGCCACCTGCCACAAGGACCCAATAAGCACTTGAAATGTGGTTCATCTAAGTTCAGAAGGGCTCTAAGTGAGTGCAAAATTCATACCAGATACCAAAGATTTAGTAAAATTGAAAAAGAATGGAAAATATCTCATTAGTACTGACTACAAATTAGTTGATAATCTATGGAAATATTAGGCTAAATAAATAAATTATTAAATTCACCCATTTCAACTGGGGAATTTGCTCAATGTCTGAGGGCTTGCCAAGCATAAACAAGGCCCTGATTTCCAGCCCCAGCACCACAAAGAAATTTAAAAAAAAAAAAAAAACTTTTCATCACTTTTTTTTAATGCAGCTACTAGAAAATTTTATGTAACTTATGTCATATTCCTATTTGACACTCATTCTTGGTCAACAAAATTCAGTGAGATCAACAAGGGCTAAGATAGGTCAATGACAGATAAGGGTGGTTGGAAAGTTTCAGATGGCCCTGATGAGAATGGCGAATGTCAGCAAGGGTTTCCCAACAATGACACCTAAATTGAGACCTGAAAAATGATGTGTTAATAGGACAAAGGGCAAAGGGCAGTGGGGAGGGTAATCCAGATAGCACATACAGCAAGTGCCCAGGTCTGGCAGTAAGAAACGACATGGCAGGCAGGCATGGGGAAGGGGCTCAGGGAGGAGGCAGAGTTGGGAAATTAGGCAGAGAGGAGGCTACAAAAGCAGATGGCGCCAGAGTATGAAGGACCCTGGAAGCCCTATTAAAGAGCTTCTCCCTGAAAATGGCAGGGAGTCGTGGAGGGTAATGGCAGTTACCAGGTCTGTAGGTAGCACCTGGGTCATGCAAAGGCAGGGAGGGGAAGGAAAGGAATGTTTGCAGATCTGCGGAGTTTCTGCTGCAGGTCAAACATGGGTTAACCCTTTCAGACTCATTTTAATTCTTATGCCAACCCTGAGCTTTAAATGAATCCATTTTACAGATGGCAAAAACTCAGCTCACAAGATGAGTGGCTTGCCCAGGGTCACAGGATTGTCAGTGAAAGAAATGGCATTGAACCCAGTTAAGTCTGGGTCCCAAAGCCCAAATGTTTCCCACCAACACTGAGATGAAAAGAACTGTCTGAGATGAAAAGATCAGATTTATGTGAACAAGTAAAAAACAAAGCTTTTGAGTGTATTAAAGACTATTAAAGGAGTGAAGGAAGTCAGGACAATCTGGTGAGAGCCAGTGTGGTAAGATGGAAAGACAGAGACAGGATGAACTTTCACAGGATCCAATTAGCAAGAGCTTCAAAGGGACTTGCTCTCTGCCTAATATCCAGCAGGTTCTCAATAAACAGAGTATCCCAACAAACTCTACTGTCATGTATAACTAAAAAGAATAAACAAAATAAATAAATAAGTAAACATAGTAACCATTTTCCAGGTTTGCCCAAGGTGGAAACTGTTTATGTCTATCTTGCTATCCAGGCATAAGTATTAACTGTGCCCACTTCACTCTTAAAAGCATCCTGGTCTGCATAACAAATAACATGGTCACCTTTCAATTAGGCTCTGTTGACTAAAAACAGCAGCCTGTCCTACAGAACTGGATAAACACTACAGGTTCTCAGGGCTCTCCTCCATTTCTTCCTACCCACTCTACAACCAGGAGTCCAGAACAATCAAAGGAACCCAACCTGGAGCAGTCTAGGCCTCCATCAAGTCTACTACAGAAAGAAAAGACCACTAAGGGCAGGACCATTGGGGGTCACTCTCAGCCAACATTCCTGATTTCTACCACTATTGATAATATAGGTTCAACATCCCCAATTTGAAAATCCAGAATCCAAAGTACTCCGAAATTCAAAACTTTTTGAGCACCCATATGAAAATCCACAAAGTGAAACGCCACACCTGACCTCAGGTCATGGGTCCCAGTCAACATGAAGGCACATTAAAAATACTGTACAAGGGCTGTGGTTGTAGCTCAGTGGTAGAGCGCTTGCCCAGCACATGTGAGGCGATGGGTTCAATCCTCAGCAGTACATAAAAACAAATAAAGGTATTGTGTACATCTCAACTAAAAGAAAAAAAATTTTTAAATACTGTACAAAATTACCTTCAGGCTTTGTATATGTGAAACATAAATAAATTTCATGGTTTTTTGTTTTTTGGTTTTTTTTTTTTTGCACTATGGATTGAACCCAGGGGCACTTAATTACTGGGCCACATCCCCAGACCTTTTTAAGTATTTTATTTAGAGACAGGGTCTTGCTAAGTTGCTCAGGGCCTCCCTAAATTGCTGAGGCTGGCTTATGAACTCTCCATCCTCCTTAGCCTCCGGAGCTGCTGAGATTACAGGTGTGCACCACTGTGCCTGGCAATAAATTTCATGTTTAGACTTGGGTCCCATCTTCAAGTTATCTCATTATGTATTGCAAATATTCCAGAAATCCAAAAAAACTACAAAATACAAAATTCCTAGCATTTCTGATCCCAAGCATTTCAGATAAGGGCTACTCAACCTATTGTAGTAATATTACGGCAACACAGAATACTTTTTTCAGCACTGGTGCCAGGCCCTACACTTGTCAAGCAAATTTCCAGGCAAGCATCACTTCTTTTAGTCCTCACACCAATGATAATGTGAGGGTATCACCACTAGCCCATTATACTGATGGGAAAGCTGGTCAAATCACTTTACCACCATCACACAGCTGGTCAGTTTACAGGACTGGATTGAATTCCAGTTCTGTCCATCTCCACCCAAGGTTCTTAACCATTACACTCCATTACCTCTGTCTGCATAGCCACTGTGTGTCCCCCATAAACAAAGTCTAGACAGACATAATGACTATATGCCTCAAAATGAATCACCAGTGTCCTCAAGACCCCTCCCTGTCCTCCATCCAGCCCCCATTGATGGCATACTCCAAACGGTTCTCTCTCACGGGACTCTTTTATAAAACCCTTTACCTGTTTGTCCTCCACAACCTCTTCAAAAGTATGTCCCCAAGTATCAGCCTAGTGCAGTGTAGGTGGGGACCCCAGAGCCCACAGTATCAGCAGGTGGGCTCTCCGGAGACCCTTCCCGAAGGAACCCACCCAGTGCACTGCCCCAGGCCACTCAAGCACCCTCAATAGCAAACTCCAAATCCGGTTAGGGAGAACCCCCATCAGTGGGGACCCCGGCCTCCAATGTCGCGGCCGCACCTGCAGCCGCTGAGCGTCCCGGGGAGGGTGACGTCCTCTTCCAACACGGAGTCCATCATGGACACAGAAGCATTGGTATCTGTGGCGAAGGCGCCACTGGTTCCGCTGGCTTGTCGCGATCCGCCTGGCTCCCCAGGTCCCCGCCCCCTCTAACCCAGCTCTTGTTGGGACTCTGGCGGCGCCGCTGGAATTCAAACCGCAGCCGCCGCCATCTTTCCGGCCGCTTCTTCCTACGGAAATGAGGCGGGGTCAACGAGGCGCGCGCAGTGAAGCCAATCTGCCAAGGCCAGAGGCCGGGCAGGGACAGGTGGGCAGGCGCCATCTTAACTAAGGGCAGAGCTTTTTCGCTTGGGCCGTCCAAAATTAAGGAAGGAGAAGCTGGATGCCATGATTTTTTAGGGCACCCAGGCCGAGGCCAGGACCGGCGCCATCTTTGTTGAGGGTGAACGCTGGTCCTGATCGGTTAATTTAAGCGGGAGCTGAGAATATAGCTCACCGCAGCTCAGAGTTTCTTAACCAATGTTTGCTTTTCTAGAACCTTGGAATCTATACACCAAAGAGTCTTCCTTCTTGAGTTGAAACTCAGATATATCAGGTACTGCTTCGCTTTAGAAAATTTCTGCCTGCGGGGTCCTAAAGTAAGCGTACTTTGCACACAGTTTGAAACAACTCATCCCCCAAGCCAAGTGGCCAGCCATACTCCCACTCCAAGCTCGCATTTAGTGATCTTTTGTTACCATTGAGACTCGCACCTACAATCTGTAAATAGGCCCAATCAGTAAACTCGCCCAAGTTAATTACACAGTAAATTTACTGTCAATTGGAGCCAGATGTGCGGCTCCTGACAACTGGATCATGGCTCTGGGTGTCTTTCTTTAATGCACAACCTGTCTTTCCCATTTGTTTCTTTTCCTCCATCTTAGAATTTGGACTAAGACATGCGGTCTACATCCAGACAACACAATATTTAAGTGGTGTGTTGGCCTCTTTTCCTAAAGTAACGGCTTCAGGGTGGCTAAGAGGTGAGTTTTACTGGGGACGGTGTGACTGCCGGACTGGACATCTGCAGTGCCTGGATTCTGAGTCCAGTTCATCCTGTGACCTGGAGATATCTTACCATTGCTGCACCTAGGTTTCCTCATGGATAAAGTGAGGCAGATAATGTCAAGCTCACATGGCTGCATTTTCTAATGAGATACTTAGTAAACTATAAAAGAGAAAGATTCCATAAGCGTTTTCGTAAGTATTTTATAAGTATTAAACCGTTGCCCTGTTCAGCAATACCATGCTCTTAGATTATGTGCTAACCCCGCCAGTGATCCTGGAAACTGAAAATAGAATTGATTGCACAAAGGAAAGTCTATGTGGGAAGTTGTTTTTTCTTCTGCAGTAGAAACACACAGTAGTGTTTCATGATCAGAGACAGGGGCCTTTGCCCTGTCTGTCTCACTATGGCTTTTCTTGTTCCAAGCCTGGAGGCAATATTACTGCTACCAGCTGTTTGGACTGTCTGAAGCCATCTCCTTGACAGCGGCCATCCAGCCACAAAGCTGGCATTATTATTTCCTTGAACAAGGTCACTGAATGGCTGGAAAGAGCTTACATCTAAAAGTCCTTTATCTGGGGTGGAACCCTTCTGAAATTCTTCATCCACTGAGTTTAACATCTATGGGCAATTCTAACTCAAAATAGTTTTTGGAGTGGTATGTGCCAATTTGATTATTTTTGTCCCCGTCATTCTTTCTCTATTAATTGGAATTCTACTGTATGGAAAACTGCTTCTTCTCCCCCATTTATTCATTTATTTGATTGTTTATTTACATAAATATGGACTCATGGCTCTAAGTGTTATTTTATGTGTTATAATTCCTTACTATCATTATGTGTTTTGTTGCATGATCCCAATTTGGCCACACTGCCCTTCTAGCACATGGCTATGCCACAATTCAAGCCCAGATCTGTCTGGTCCCAAGGTCAGCAGTATTTCCTGGAACACCAACCTGCCCCTTTGCTTTCAAGAACTTGCCTAAACCAACCCTTGGCATTAGCAGTCCTTGTTAGGGGCCAATTCCAATGAATATGCACTATCTTCTCAAAGCTCGTTGGTGTACCAAGCCACTGATGCCTCTGGGCCCAACATCTAGCCCAAAGCTATGGACACAATAGGTGCTCAATGCCAGTTTGTCAAATTAACCCCAAGCCAGACTTTGCATCAAGATGGGAAGAGGAGGGCTATGGTTGTGGCTCAGAGGTAAAGCACTTGCCTAGCATGCGTGAGGCACTGGGTTCGATCCTCAGCATCACATAAAAATAAAGATGTTGTGTCCACCGAAAACTAATATATATATATATATATATATATATATATATATATATATATATATATTCTCTCTCTTTAAAATAAATAAATAAATAAAAATAAAATGAAGATATTGTGTCCACCTAAAACTAAAGTAAATAAATATTTTTTAAAAAAAGGTGGGAAGAGGAGAGTGACTATAGTGCACAGCAACCTACAAGATATTTGAGAACAAGTAGAAGAGAAGAGCTCAAGTCTCCAAACAAAAAAGCATTAAGGAGCTGGAAGTGCTAATCACCCTGATGCAATCAGTACATACGGCACACATGTACTGAAATAGCACAAATATGTTAAATTATTAGGTGTTAATTTAAAATAACTGAAAGATAGGAAGAGGAAAGAGCAATACCCCACATCAAAGGAGTAGAATGTGGATTATTAGATTAAAAAGGGTAGTACATATCAACATGAGAAGACCTTAGACTTGGAATTCAACTCTCTAGGCCTGTTTTCTGATCTTTATATTGAGTGCTTTAGACTACGATATTGAGGCCCCCTCAGCTCTGATGTTCCATGAATAACTGACATCAGCCACCATGTATTGAGCTGTCTGTGCCAGGCACGGTACTGAGTACACTCAATCCTCACAATCATCTTATGAAACAAGGACTGATTATGCCCAGTGTTATAGTTTGACAAAGCTGAGGTTCAGCAAGGAGAAGGATCTTCTGGCCATGGGAGGAAATCCAAACATGCCATCCTAAAATACATTGCTTTGGCATAAGGATGATGTTGAACTAAAGGCAGTTGAGAATCAGCAAGATACAGGAGGAATTCTCTGCCTTCCCTTTTCTGTCTAAAAGCAAGGCATATGTTTGCCTTTATGAATCTCTCACCCCCTCCATTCATTTCCCCTGTAGACTCCCAGTCACTGCCCCATGACTTGTCATCCCTTGAAGCCGGAACTCCATTTCCTTTGTTAAAACAGCACATAAGCCAGGCATAGTGATGCACACCTGTAATCCCAGTGGCTTGGAAGATTAAGGCAGGAGGATCATGTGTTCAAAGCCAGCCTCAGCAACTTAGTAAGACTCTGTCTCCAAATAAAATATAAAAAAAATGGCTGGGAATATGCCATGTGGCTCAGTGGTTGAGACCCTGGGTTCAATCCCCAGTATTAAAAAAAAAAAAAAAAAAAAAAAAAAAAAAAACCAGCATATAAGCTCCCACATCTAACTACCTGTTTGACTTTACTTCTGTGAACTCCTGTACACAGAACTATTAGTGAAAACTGTACATTTTTCCTCCTGTTAATCTGTCTTTTGTTAGTTTAATTCATACCTCTCAGTACTAAGCCTAAGAGGGTAGAGGAAGATTTTCCTCCTTGACACCGTCTAAGCAGCGAGGTGGGGGAGCTGTAGTGTGAACCCATGCTCTTAGCCATAGGCCCTCTCATGGGTTGCTGGAATCTCTGCCCTCAAGAAGCCGGCTCAAGTACACAAATGATACAGCAAAGTAAAACACCTTAAGTACTTTGTTGATACAAGGAAAATAACGTAAGATTCTAGGGGCACCCAGAGAAGGGATGGAATCCTTCTGATGGAGGGATTGAAGAAAGGTCTTTTACCAGTAAGATCCAGGCCCCACAAAATCAGCATTGAAGCCCTATCAACAACAGAGTACACAGTTTTGAGTCTCACTTTTTGAGGCCCATAGAACAGTTCTGAGACAACTATGTTATTCTTCTATGGATAAGGAAATTGAAGGTCAGAGACAGGAACTGATTTTCTCAAAGTCACACAGAAAGCTAATTACAGAGAAAAGAACTTGGATTTCAGTTTTGTTTCCTGAAAGCTGGTACTCCTAAGCTTTTTGAAACTTACAGATGGCATAGATGCATCCCAAGCCGAGATCTCCCTGCCTAAATTGATGATCCTCAGTACCATGGCCAGATCTCTGGGCATCTAAGCCCTGGGTCTAGCTGTAAGAGAACCAAATGCTATTGAAAAACATTATCTTCGGATGCCAGGGAGGCCTTTCAAGCACCCTCTCCAGCTCTACATTTGAATATGTAAAAGAGCAATCATTCCAGGCGAAGAAGGATAATTGAATAAATTAATTCTCTGGACATTTTGCAGTTTAAAAGATGCACACACAGCCTTTAGACTTTTGGGAGAGGACGGTAAAGTTCACCTCTCTCTTAACGGCAATGAACTCACATTAGAGGGCAGGTCAGGGCCTAGAAAGGCTGGGAACTTCCTCAGAAGGATGAGGGCAGGGCTGCTTTGCTCTTGCAGGAACCTCCCTCTCTGGCACACCAGAACACTGTAAGGGTACTTTGAGCCAAAGGATGAGGAGTGCAGGCCCATCTGCCCTGCTTGACAAGCCATGAGTCCCTCCCAAAGAAGAGCTGCCTGTTCCGCCCTCCCACAGGGAAACTCCCTGTGCTAGTGGTTTATCATCTGTGATTCCTTCCCCTTCTATACCTAATTCCCAGGGTCCTTCCAACCACAGTTCAAGAAGAAGCCTGTTGGAGAGATGCCTTACTCTGGACTCCTACAACACCCTGAACTGATCTTCTTTGTGAGGCTTATCCCAGCTCCATAATTGGCTGTTAGGTTGGCCATCTTTCCTATGATCCTGTAAGTTCCTTGAGATGAGGATCTTATTTCAAGTCCATTTTATTGAAATGAGTTTATATACAATAAACTGGATTCCGTTTAAGTATACCTGCTGAGGAGCTTTGGCAAAATACACACCCACGTAGCTACCACCCATCAACAGTGCTCTCCAATGGAACTTGGTTAACAGAAATATTCTAAATTTTTGGTGTCTTATAGTCACTAACTATATATGGCTATTGAACTCTGGGAAGGTGGCTGTTTGATGAAGGAACAGAATTTTTAAATATTTTA